AGCGTATAAAGGGTTAAATCAAGTAACTGACACAGATTACCACGTGCAAGTAATTGATTCAGACTCCCAATCAAATAGCAGCGCGCTGACTTAGCAGCCTCGGGCAGTCACCACCGTGGAATTATAAAATAAAATGAAAATCATCTGCATTCACTGTTTGACAGCGGCATCGCATTTTACTCGCAGAGAGATCTACATTGATAGGTAATATTGCAACCGGCTGGGGGTTGCCAGCAAACAGGACACGGAATCTGGTCACAAGGCTTTATTTACAAATACAACGTACATTCAAATTTCAACAACTGCTTATATGAGATATCATAGTCCTCATATCTACACCATAATCTCGCCGTTACAACGCTGACAAGTCCTTGTTTCCGATCCTTGTTGAAGGCGAGTTCTCTTTCCTTTGTTTGATCCACGTTTCCTGTCTCTGTTGCATGCGACAGCTTATTCTTTATTCGCGTCATGTCTAAGGTAGTGTGTGGGGGTGGGGGTCCGCGTCCAACTGCGTCCGCTTCCTTACAGTCAATCGTCGTTGGCCGATGCACTCGGCCCCGCTACACGATTGCTCGTCCCGAACGACATGTGCTGTTTCAACATTGTAGTACTTCAATGTCTGCGGCTTACGACGGACTCGTTGTCCGCCGCGGCGCGGGGTTGGTTTCTGGTTTTTTTTTGTACATTCGCTCGACTCAATTTCCAGTTCTTCTTGTGGCTCCTTCACGCAGTGAGTGCCCGCTCCTATCTGCGTAGGTACGATCTCTTCTGGAATTGACAACTGGCACTTTTGTCGATATCTTGCCTTTCGCAAGGCATCATGGTTCCTGCCCCAAGTTCATGACTGTAATGTAAATAGTACCCCTCTTGACCGTACGCAGCCCCCTCGGTTTCGCCCATTCCCGGCTGACCTGCGTGCTGTAAGCGTTTCTATGAGCCTCTTCCAGTTAACCGCTCACGGTAGTTGCCCTTGCACTAAACTGGTTGTTCCTAGCAATCGTTGTGCACTCTTACTACCACCACATCGATGACTCTGGTTCGTGCTCATTCATTCGCCGATGCTCCTAAAGACGTTATGTACTTCATCCTGGCCTTCTTCAGGGCCTGGAACCTTGTGTTACAATAGTTTGTCACGTCTGCTGCTTGGATCGGCCTCCGCAATGATCTTTCTTTCCAATGACTTATCTTTCTTTGCGCTGCCCATTTGAAGATAGGTATTCTCCTTACTTATCAGTATCGTTACCCCGACGACCATTATCCCAATTATCATATCAATGTTTTCCATCACCGGTGCTTCTGTCATAACTGTCCCTTTATCTTTCACGCTGACATTCAGCTCGACTCCATAGACGGACATAACTCGGTTATCTGCTCATCGCAGTCCACCTAAACGCTTTTCTTAGTTACTTTTATTTCAACCAGGCCCTGCCAAATTGCGCTTACGGTTGACCCAGGATCAACAATCGCATCAATCTGGCCCAACAGTGCTACATGCGCCATCGTCTGAATCAAAGGATCCGTATGGGGTGCTTTTTTCAATGATTGAGGTGGTGCTCTCGTTTTCCCATTTTTTCTTGGAATTCATCGGACAGTCCGCGCAAAATGCCCTTCTCAATCACATCGGAAACATCTTACCCAGGCTTCCGTTTTCGTCTTTCCTGGTTGGATCATCTCCTTTGTTGACTAGATATATCGAAGCGACGTGAAGAGAATTCGTTACTCGAGGTAATTATTGGTTAAGAGAATATTTTTGTAACCTTTGAATGTGTAACATTGAAACGCTGAATTGACATTTGTCTTTCATTTTCCGTGAATGAGCATCTTTTTCAGAACTTAATTACTTATACATTGGAAACTGATCCGCTGCATCATCCAGTTCCTGGACGTTTGAAAGCGCGCGAAGAACTAAAATCTTCTTTTCTAAAGATACTTCTTTCGTGGCATGAAAAATATGGCTCAAAATATGGGCAGTTACATTTAGCTCATGAACACCTTAAAAGGCGTCTTAAGGTAAGTCATATTTTTTATTAAATCTTAGGCCTCAAACCGTTTTTAATCTTCAGATCCACTTCGACGGCATCAACCTTTCAAACGAATTTGAAGTTAGACGTGAACGGGAAGCTGCAGATCGCCATAAACGGCTTGAATTGAAACTCTTGGAAAGAGTTAAAGTGGAATTTTCAGGTTATTATTGTTAATTCTTCTTGAAAAACGATGCAAAATGATGTTAATCATGTGATTGAGCAGTTCCGACGTAAATTTCAGAAGTTGTTATTTTGAGTGATCGTTTTTAAAGGTTAACTTTTA